GACGATCCCCGCAGGATGGATCCGATCCATCCTGCGGGGATCGTCGGCTTGCTTTACAACTTACCTTTTCGTGGAGTGGGTCCGGTGTCACCCCGTATAGGTTGCAAGCCAATGATCCCCGCAGGATGGATCGGATCTGCGGACTGGGGAGCATAATGGATTGGAGTCTGATCCATTCTGCTCAATCCGCAGATCCGATCCATTCTGCGGGGATCGTCGGAGGGGGTGTCACCAAGTGTTATCGCACTGGGTGACACCAACCCTAGGGACGCCCCTGGATGGATCAAAAGGCATCTGGTTCAGCAGGGACCGGCCAAATTTTGATCCATCTATGGCCTTTCCCGTTCAAGAGGGGTTGATCAAGTAATTGACTCCTCCTGAACAGGACTCCTGGAAAAGTTTTCTGTTCGATCAACGCATGCAGACAACCTACTGCAGTGCTGATCAGTGTATTGTGACAGTGGAGGAGCCCCTCTGACAGAATACAATAGCTCTGCAGGGAGGATCCCTCCATCTTCCTCTCTTGTGTGGATGGGGCAATCCAATCTGCTTTGTTAGATCTGACCACTGAAAAAAACAGAATAATTTATGGCCAGCTTTACAATACATAGTGGTTGGAAGATCTAAGTCTAGGTTCACACCTATGCGTTTGGCGGAAACGCACAGCAATCCATTTAACATGATTTCCTATGGGGCAGGTTCACATCTCTGCGATGTCACCCAGTGCGTCTTTTGGAAAGGGTCAGGGAATTTTTTAAGCGCAAATCGTGGCATTTTTGGTTCTATAGACTTCAGTGTAAACGCTGCAGAAAAGCATGTAGTGCGTTTTTGATGCATTTCTAATGCGTTTTGCGTTTTAATCTGCCTAGCAACAAGTAAAAAAAAAAAAGTACAAAAATGCAAAACGCATTGTAGAAACGGATCATATGCAAACTGCATAAGTGTGAACCTAGCTTTAAGGAGATTGTACAATCAGATTGTAACGTGTGGTATGAAAACGTTAACTGTGCTTTACTGTTCATCACTCTCTCTTCTGTTTCCTTGCCCTTGTCTGCTAATCTGACAGCCTGTTTTTCCTGAAGCTGGCCAAAACACAACTCTCTACTTAACAGAGCATGGATGGATAAATCCCTCCTGTGGGGCTATTGTCAGGATACCCAAACAGCGGCTGCATCTGACTGGATGCAACTGCTGTTCAGTTTACAGTCTGCCTCCCATCTCCTTTGATTTTATAATCAGGTGGGATTGACAGAGCAGAAGATGATTATCAGGAACTGGACAAAATTTGAATAGTCTATGTTCAGTTTAAAACCAGGTTCACATCTATGCAGATTGCGGTTGATGCATTTATGTGGGTGCATTTTGCATTTTTTTCACACTTGCTTTTGATGAGTTTTTTTTTGTGCATTTTTTTAAATGTATTTTGTGCAACTTTACCTGGTTGTCAAGGAGCGGGGGCGGCCGCCGGCGTCCTTAACAACCAATAAACAACAGCCGTTAAGAAGTGGGCGGCCATCATGTCCTTGACAACTGATGAGTCATCAGCTGTCAGCAGGGTTCCCCGCTCACAGCAGAATATAAACAAGCCTATTGCTGGCAAATACAAAAATTGGGGAAAAACCAGCGAGACAAAAAAAATTACTTGCCAGGCCCTCCGAAATTCCATGGGCCTGGTAATGATTGAGGGAAACCCCATGCTGTTTTTTTCCTGATTTGTTTTTTAACCACTTCCCAACCGCCCTATAGCAGAAATACTGCACGGTGCGCAAAATCACATGTGTATATATACGTGATTTTTCATTTCAGGGTAGGGGGCATGCGCCCTACCCATGCTGCGGCTGTCCATCACCAGGTCCCGGCTGGTAATTACTCGCTGGCACCTGCTGATTTCCGAAGATTTCCGATGGGGAGAACTGTTCTGTTTTGTTTACTAATAGTTCTCTTCCCTGTCAGCTGTTGCACACTGCTGCACAGCACAGCCATCCACAGCAGTGTGATTACAATGAAGCACACTAACACCACCCCCTAGTAAAAACACTCCCAGCACACAGTTAACCCTTTGATCGCCCCTCATGTTAACCCCTTCCTGCCAAGTGCCATTAGTACCGTGTCAGTGCTTTTTTTTAGCACTGATCACTGTATTGGTGTCACTGGGGATGTCAGTGGCACCAAGTCAGTTCCCCCCAGTGTCAGAATGCCTGCCGCAGTCCTGCTAAAAGTAGCTGATCACCGCCATTACTAGTAAAAAAAAAATTTTTTTTTAAAATCTCCAATATGTATACCTCCATTTGTAAACGCTATAACTTTCACGTAAACCAATTAATTTACACGTATTGGGATTTTTTTTTAGCAAAGACATGGAGCAGAATACATTTTGGGCTAAATTTATGACGAAATTTGATTTTTCAAATTTTTTTTACTGGACATGTCTAATAGCAAAAAGTCATAAAAGTTTTATATGGCCTATTCTTTTTTTTATAGCGTAAAAACTGCACAGGCGATCAAATACCACTGAAAGAAAGTTCTATTTGTGGGAAAAAAGGCCATAGATTTCATTTGGGTGCAGCATTGCATGACGGCGCAATTGTCAGTTAACGTAACGCAGCGCCGTAACCAGGGGTGGACTGACCATTTGGAAAACTCGGGCACTGCCCGAGGGCCTGGGGTCAGTAGGGGGCCCCATGAGATGCCCCTGGTACCTTTTTTCACAGAATTTTTGAGTTTGGGCAAGCACACGGGCCCCATGATCCTCTATTGCCCGGGGGCCCCATGAGTTGTCAGTCCGCCCCTGGCCATAACACAAAAAATGGCCTGGTCAGGAAGAGGGGTGAATCCTCCGGAGGGTGAGTGGTTAATTGCCGGCAATAGGTTTGTTGATATTCAGTTGTTAGCAGTAACCCCACTGACAGCTGATGACTGTCGGTTGTTAATTTCATGGCAGGTGCCTGCTTCTTAAGTCTAGGTTCACACCTATGCAGGTTGCGTTTGAGCCATTTCTGGATTGCGTTTTTGCACCTGCGTTTTTGATGCATTTTTTCATTTTTCTTGTTGCTAGGCAGAGGTAAAATGCAAAACACAGAAAAAACTCACTACATTCTTTTCTGCAGCATTTCCACTGAAGTCTATATTACCAAAACCACAACTTTTTCCATTAAAAAAAGTCCCTGACCCTTTCCAAAAAACGTACCGGGTGAAAACGCGGAGATGTGAACCTGTCCCATAGGAAATCATGTTAAATGAACTGTACTGCGTTTCTGTAAACCGATTAGGTGTGATCCTAGGGTAACTACCATGTTGTTTACTGGTTTAAGGACTCCAGCGTCCACCCTGCTCACACAGGACGCAAAACGCATGAAAACACAATACTTGTGTTTCTGTAGCAGTTCCATAGAAGTCTATGACAAGCAAAATGCAATCTGCTACAGGAAAAAAAGTCCATGACCCTTTCAAAAATCCACACCGGCTCAAAACATACAGATGTGAACTAGATTATTATTATTATTATACAGGATTTATATCGCACCAACAGTTTGTCTCCCGTTGATACTGTAAAGCGCTGCGCAAACTGTTGGCGCGATATAAATCCTGTATAATAATAATTGTCTCCCGTTATATTGTAAAGCGCTGCACAATTATTATTATTATACAGGATTTATATCGCGCCAACAGTTTGCGCAGCGCTTTACAGTATAAACGGGAGACATTATTATTATTATTATTATACAGGATTTATATCACGCCAACAGTTTGCGCTTTATAATATAACGGGGAGACAAACTGTTGGTGCGATATAAATCCTGTATAATAATAATAATAGTCTCACGTTATATTGTAAAGCGCTGCGCAATTATTATTATACAGGATTTATATCGCGCCAACAGTTTGCGCAGCACTTTACAAGATAACGGGAGACAAACTGTTGGTGCGATATAAATCCTGTATAATAATAATAATAATAATTGTCTCCCATTTATATTGTAAAGTGCTGCGCAAACTGTTGGCGCGATATAAATCCTGTATAATAATAATAATAATTGTCTCCCGTTATATTGTAAAGTGCTGCGCAAATTATTATTATTATTATATAGGATTTATATCGCGCCAACAGTTTGCGCAGCACTTTACAAGATAACGGAAGACAAACTGTTGGCGCGATATAAATCCTGTATAATAATATTGTGCAGCGCTTTACAATATAACGGGAGACAATTATTATTATACAAGATTTATCGCGCCAACAGTTTGCGCAGCACTTTACAATATAATGGGAGACAATTATTATTATTATTATACAGGATTTATATCGCACCAACAGTTTGTCTCCCATTATCTTGTAAAGTGCTGCGCAAACTGTTGGCGCGATATAAATCCTATATAATAATAATAATAATTGCGCAGCACTTTACAATATAACGGGAGACAATTATTATTATTTTTTTATAGAGGATTTATATCGCGCCAACAGTTTGCGCAGCGCTTTACAATATAACGGGAGACAATACAGCAACAATACAATTTGGTACAAGAGGAAACAGAGGGCCCTGCTCACTAGAGCTTACAATCTAATATCCATAGGAAAGCATGTTAAATGAACTGTAGTGCGTGTCTGCAAACTGGAAAACACAGTGAAATCCACATAGAGTAACTGCAAACAACAGACTGCCTGTGTGACTAATTGATCCTATTTCAGCAGTCTGATACACAGAGGGCTGTACAGAGAGCTTTTAGCTGAAACACGACTACAGCAAGTATGTAAAAAAGGAAATGTAGCATCCAAAACGACCCTATACGCATTACATATTGTATATTTGATGAAAACGTCGTGATGGTATCCCTTTTATATCACAAATATGACTTTACCTTGCCTTTGGCTGTGTTAATGATGATAAAAGTTGATGGAGCAGAGGAGAGAGGAAGGAAGAGGAAGTCAGTGACTACAGAGTATCAAGAGTGATGGTCAGAGGAGACTCCAGCTTCCATTGCCCCCGCTGGGTACTTACCTCTGGATCTGCGGCGAGAGAAGCAGCCTCCCATCTCTCCTACTTCCTAGACGGAGCAGACTTCTCCCTGGGCCGGCCTCCTCCTCCAGCAGCTCACTACAATAAGGGCTGAGTCACATAGCTTGGCGGTGGGATGTGCAGACTGAGTGCTGCTCTTGTTTGGTGATGCTCAGACACTCTCAGGAGGAGGGGAAGGGACTCTCTCCAGCAGGCTGAGACACTCTGAAACTGGATTCCCAACAGCTGCACCACTCACCCCTCCTGCAGGACACCACATCTGCCTGGGGTAACCGTTTGTGTGCCAGGGACCAATACAGCAGCGTGCTGCCGGCTTCCGCACCTATGGCTGGGCTAACTGTGCACTGTGGACTAAGGGCCCAATCACATCTGTGCGTTGGATAACACGATATGAGTTCTTCGAGAATGCAAAGCACGGTTTTTATGCGTTGTGTTAACATATAACACAACACACAAGCGCTTTATGTGCATTTTCCTCCTTGGGCACATGGGGAAAATCATCCATGGGACTTAAAAAAAAAAAAGCACATAAAGAAAGCATTGTGCGCTTTTGGTGCTCTTCCATTGATAATAGATGGTGGGCTTCCATTGACTACAATGGATGGTGCGCTTTTGGTGCGCTTCCATTGATTACAATGGATGGTGCGCTTTTGGGGCGCTTCCATTGATTACAATGGATGGTGCGCTTTTGGTGCGCTCCCATTGATTACAATGGATGGTGCGCTTTTGGGGCGCTCCCATTGATTACAATGGATGGTGCGCTTTTGGGGTGCTTCCATTGATTACAATGGATGGGGCACTTCCATTGATTATAATGGATGGTGCGCTTTTGGGGGCTTCCATTGATTATAATGGATGGTGCGCTTTTGGGGGGCTTCCATTGATTATAATGGATGGTGCGCTTTTGAGACACTCTGAAACTGGATTCCCAACAGCTGCACCACTCACCCCTCCTGCAGGACACCACATCTGCCTGGGGTAACCGTTTGTGTGCCAGGGACTAATACAGCAGCGTGCTGCCGGCTTCCGCACCTATGGCTGGGCTAACTGTGCACTGTGGACTAAGGGCCCAATCACATCTGTGCGTTGGATAACACGATATGAGTTCTTCGAGAATGCAAAGCACGGTTTTTATGCGTTGTGTTAACATATAACACAACACAAGCGCTTTATGTGCATTTTCCTCCTTGGGCACATGGGAAAATCATGCATGGGACTTAAAAAAAAAAAGCACATAAAGAAAGCATTGTGCGCTTTTGGTGCTCTTCCATTGATAATAGATGGTGGGCTTCCATTGACTACAATGGATGGTGCGCTTTTGGTGCGCTTCCATTGATTACAATGGATGGTGCGCTTTTGGGGCGCTTCCATTGATTACAATGGATGGTGCGCTTTTGGTGCGCTCCCATTGATTACAATGGATGGTGCGCTTTTGGGGCGCTCCCATTGATTACAATGGATGGTGCGCTTTTGGGGTGCTTCCATTGATTACAATGGATGGGGCACTTCCATTGATTATAATGGATGGTGCGCTTTTGGGGGCTTCCATTGATTATAATGGATGGTGCGCTTTTGGGGGGCTTCCATTGATTATAATGGATGGTGCGCTTTTGAGACACTCTGAAACTGGATTTCCCAACAGCTGCACCACTCACCCCTCCTGCAGGACACCACATTGCTGCCTGGGGTAACCGTTGTGTGTGCCAGGGACTAATACAGCATTGCCGGCTTCCGCACCTATGGCTGGGCTAACTGTGCACTGTGGACTAAGGGCCCAATCACATCTGTGCGTTGGAAAACACGATATGAGTTCTTCGAGAATGCAAAGCACGGTTTATGCGTTGTGTTAACATATAACACAACACAAGCGCTTTATGTGCATTTTCCTCCTTGGGCACATGGGGAAAATCATGCATGGGACTTAAAAAAAAAAAAGCACATAAAGAAAGCATTGTGCGCTTTTGGGTGCTCTTCCATTGATAATGGATGGTGGGCTTCCATTGACTACAATGGATGGTGCGCTTTTGGTGCGCTTCCATTGATTACAATGGATGGTGCGCTTTTGGGGCGCTTCCATTGATTACAATGGATGGTGCGCTTTTGGTGCGCTCCCATTGATTACAATGGATGGTGCGCTTTTGGGGCGCTCCCATTGATTACAATGGATGGTGCGCTTTTGGGGCGCTTCCATTGATTACAATGGATGGGGCACTTCCATTGATTATAATGGATGGTGCGCTTTTGGGGGCTTCCATGGATTATAATGGATGGTGCGCTTTTGGGGGCTTCCATTGATTATAATGGATGGTGCGCTTTTGGGACGCTTCCATTGATTATAATGGATGGTGCGCTTTTGGGGCGCTTCCATTGATTATAATGGATGGTGCGCTTTTGGAGCGCTTCCATTGATTATAATGGTTGGTGCGCTTTTGGGGCGCTTCCATTGATTTATAATGGATGGCGCGCTTTTGGGGCGCTTCCATTGATTATAATGGATGGTGCGCTTTTGGTGCGCTTCCATTGATTAAAATGGATGGTGCGCTTTCATTGATTACAATGGATGGTGCGCTTTTGGTGCACTTCCATTGATTATAATGGATGGTGTGCTTCCGTAGACTATAATGGAGGGTGCGTTTTTTGTTGTATTTTTCACATAGCGCGCTTAACTGTATAGGACCAGTTCACACCACATGCAGTTCAGTGCGGTTTTCTTCTGCATCAAAAACACACGGAAAGTAAGTTATATGGTTCTGAACATGCTGCAAAGTAATGCAGCCCATACATGGGTCGAATTCTGAACTAATTTTCTTTCAAAAATCGGAAAATTTGTGCGCTTTGTAATGCAATGGTGCTCCTGAACCTCTCCTTTTCCCCCGCTCGCTTCTGGTTGTTTGGAATGAGCAGAACATATTAGTGGTGGTCACGTGCGCTGCTCTATGCACACTACAAATCTCATAGTCCATCTCAGAAGCAAGCATGAGAGGGTCACTACACTCCTACATACGGCGGGGCCATGGAGAATGAATGTAGCCACCTTCCAGCAAGAAGTTGGATCACTGCAAAAAAAAAAAAATGGAGATCTGGAGGAGGCTGGGAGCAACAGAAGGTACTTTTTTGAGTTAAAGCAGAACTAAGGGCAAGAATACTGACCCAGCGCCAGCATCTTCTCCCTGGCTTCTTCAACAATCTTGATTGGCCAGCATGGGATGACTTCACTCCCACGCATGCGTAGTAGTGCAGTCTAACAGCACACAAGTTGTGTGGCAGAATGTAAACTAAGCAATGCATGCACATCTCTGTGTACGTTCTGCAGGGGATTGCAAACAGGCAGCTAAGTTATGTTTGTTGCAGAGCAGCCATTGCATGTCTCTTCTGCAATAGCCTGTCTGTGTTCGCAATTTTTTTATTTATCAGCTTTAGTTCCACTTTCAGACTACATACTTGAATAGAATTTTTTTTAAAACCACAACAATCATTTACCAACAACTGTCACATAGATGTATGAATGTGAGTCTCTCACAATGATTTTCCAGTGTGCTGGACAATTATTTCAATGGCACACTTTGCTATTATTAATGTTCACTAAAACCTCCAGTCTGTCCTTTCTTTTTTCCCCCTGATAAGGAATTTGATTTGTACAGATAGTAAAAATAAACTTGGGACTGGGAGGAAATGTCCACATCTTGCTGCAACAGGCCTGCGCCTCCAGGCTATTTATCCTGCTAATAGAATACACAGGGAGTTCCTGCAAAGTGAAAGTAAAAGTGGCCTGCCAGGAAAAGCTAGTACGCTTGCTTATAGTAAAGTGCCTGAAAGTAAAACTGTCTGTGTCACCCACAAACTTTTATTTAACCACTTGCCCTCCAGAGGATTTACCCCCCTTCCTGACCAGGCCATTTTTTGCGATACACCGCTGCGTTATTTTAACGGACAATTTGCGCGGTCATGCAACATGAAATTCATATCCTTTTTCATCACAAATAGAGCTTTCTTTTGATGGTATTTGATCGCCTGATGCGCGGTTTTTATTTTTTGCGCTATAAACAAAAAAAGAACAATTTTTAAAAAATATATATATATTTTTGACATTTAGCTATAAAACATATAATGTCCAGTAAAAAAAATCAAATTTCATCATAAATTTAGGCCAAAATGTATTCTGCTACATGTCTGCTAAAAAAAAAAAAAATCCAAAACCGTGTAAATTAATTGGTTTACATGAAAGTTATAGCATTTACAAATGGCGGCATAGATACTGGAATTTATTTATTTATACTAGTAATGGTGATGATCAGCGACTTATAGCGGGACTGCAATGGGCATTCTGACACTGGGTGGGAACTGACTAACTGTCATTGACATCCCCAGTGACACTAATACAGCAATCGGTGCTAATAAAAAGCACTGACATTGTACTAATGACACTGGGCAGGAAGGGTTAACATCTGGGGCGATCAAAGGGTTAACTGTGTGCTGGGTGTGCTTTACTGTCTAAGCATGCTGCTTTGTATTGCTCTTCTATGCTATACAGAGCAATACAAAGCAGCGTTCTGGAGCTGACGGGAGAGGTCTGTATTGTTTACATACAGACCTCTCCCCAGTCAGTGATCTGGGTGTGCTTTACGCTGCTTTGTATTGCTTTGCTATACAGAGCAATACAAAGCAGTGTGCAGGAGCTGACAGGGGAGAGGTCTGTATTGTTACATACAGACCTCTCCCGAGAGAGAGAGTGTGATTTTGCACAGCCCTGCCGCCCTGTAGCAGTAGTTCTGCTATAGGGTATTCGGGAAGCGGTTAATCAGCAGCACTGAAAAATGTTTTTATTTCAGATGCTTTGCTATAAAAGATAACAAATCAGGTTAGTATTCTCACCGTGCAGCACTGGAGTCCTGGATTTAACTTTCAGTAAAGGCACTGTCTACAAGGATTTTCCATGTACACTGGAGTTTGTGTTTTTATGTCTTTCACAAATACAATGATAGGTTACTTAGCTTCCTCCCTGGTGTGTGCAGCTGT